TGTATATGGTGAATTTTATTCATTCCAGGTGCTTTTTGATATGATCGATATGAAAATGTTTTCCTGCTTGGCAAGAATGCCATTTGATCAATTTGATAAAGTGAAGGTTTATACTAGAGACTCGCGTTGTATTACAAAAGGAAAACATTTACCTATCATATATGTTTTATTTTATTTTTAAGATTTTTTTCAAAACCCATATCTTTTGTGAAAAGAGTATAATGGGTAATGGTATAAGACATACTAACTTGAACCTCAAGGAAGATATAAACTAAGTGTGAACAGTTGAAACGAAATCCATTTTTTAGGATTCTTTTTCTATCTCTTGTTTACTTTTTTCCCTTTTCCTTTCGTTTTTATTTGTCACTTTACACAAAAATTGCTAGTTGACATAACTCGATTGATATTATTTATTTATTCATTTATTTATTCATTTATTTATTGTGAGAAGGAATCTTGATGACATTGGAACTTGCATTACGCTTAATTCCATCTTGCTTGATGACATTGGAACTTGCATTATGCTTGATTCCATCTTGCTTGATGACATTGGAACTTGCATTATGCTTAATTCCATCTTGCTACATGACATTAGAACTTGCATTATGATTGATTCCATCTTGCTTTATGATATTTAAACGTTGCATTATTCTTGATTCCATTTTTCATTATTTCATTCAAACATTTCGTAGTGACCAATTCTTTCATTGAGTGATAACTATTAAACTGGAACAAGCCATTTGGAATATTAAAATATTAACGTCTTATTCCTTTATGTATCAGCTACCTTTCTTCATGCTCTATACAAACCATTTACGGTTTAGTTTTTTTGTATTACTTTTATGTAGAAGTCATTTAAAATTGACTATTTTTTGTTCCCTGATGGAATTTGTTAAAATGGGACTTATTTGATTTACAGCTCGCATGGCGTGATTACTATTAGCTTTCGCTTATATCCATTATTCAGTGTTTATGCTTTATAAAGCTCGGTGTCTGAGGCTTTGTGGATTATGTTTGATCATCTTACATTATGATAAACAATTTAAATTTGTGAACTGTTAAGGGGCGAGAACTCTGTTATCGATATCAACGGATTTTTTCCATGATTCGCCTATCATCGGAATTTTCCGTACATGTATATATTACGGAATACCGTTAGGGCCATCGTGGTTATACGTTAAAATACAGAGGGCGACAATGCTATAAATACGTACCAATCGCTTAATACATAAATTGCAGTGGAAAGAATATAAATACAAGTAGTAAGGATTATGCAATATAATTTTATACATGTATATGTATACAGTCTAATAGAAAAAATATGCTCGTAAACAGTTATTTCAATGGGGCAGTTATACGTACAGTGGCGGATTCAGACCTTGGCTTAAGGGCTGCCGACCTACCCCCAAAGATTACGTTGATGAGCTGGGATGGAATATATACGTGTAAGTTTCATGCAATAGTGGGTCATAGTGTACTCCCTTATCAAAACATATAATGCTGTCATCCAGTTGTTAAGCACCTGCCTACGATTGCGAAGGTCTTTATCTAATGACTTGGACATTGAAAAGCAAAACTTATTAATTGGCCTTTTAACTTAATAAATTGTCTCAGTCACTAATAGTGGCGAATAGGTATGTAACACATTAAAAATATACATGTATAATAAGGGAAAGTAGGAAGTTGTTTATTTTTGTGACATGTGCATAGTCAATTACAAATGTTGGGCAAATGTGTGTCTGATTATAGATCAGACATCCCGCACACACCACCACATTCACATACATTTGTGCTTAAAGATATACTATGCACATCTTACAGTAATATATTTTTATCACAGAAATTTTTATTGAAATCTATAATATTCTTACTAAATATGTTTTATTTAAATAAAAACACATTACACATAATGTATAGGAATATGCTTTTCCTTATTACGGGTCAAGTAAAGTTGTGCCTGTCTCTTAAAAGAAACTTCCATATATATTTTTGTAATAACACTATACATGAATATTCATACTGCACAATTACAGTGTAAAGTATTTAAAGCACAATGTTTTGTGTGAAGCCAAATTTATATTTATTTTATTTTACAAAAAAAAAAAAATCAAGTTTTACTGTTACTTAAGTCGTGGCCACGAGTTACTATTGTGACATGTGTGTGTTTTTATTTATCTCTTTTAGTTATAGCCCTTTGTTGGACAATTCTATGATAGAATTGGGTCATTTTGTACGTACAAAGGCCTGTTAACATTGTTTATACCATAACTTGAGAGGACTTAGTCCTGGTTTATTTTATTGGGAAGGGACATTGCCCATGGACAGTAGATATCCTATAAGGATGTTTGAGCTCACAGGTCGGATAAACATGACACTTCATGCAAAATCCTTGTCTGATTGAATGATTTAGAAAGAATAAGCCGTAAGTTTATATAACCTAAAAAGATCAGTAGATGACACCTAATAATTTTTAGGCAAATTTGGTCAGAAATCAGGGTCACAATGACGCTGAATCTTTGACCAATCAATAACTTATAATAAATTGGCACTTTTACGGACAAATGAAGTAGGGGCATCCTTGTTTAGGAAAATTCATATAAATAGTGTAATTTGATTTGGTATTTATCTCGTTCGCACGACTTAACATTTTCGTGGCCACGACTAAACTTACTCGTGGCCACGACATAGTAACTTGTTCCAACGACTTATTTATCTCGTGGCCACACTTTAGTAAACTCGTGGCCACGACTAAGTTATCTCGTTCCCACGACTTAAATTACCTCGTGGCCACGATTTAGTAACTCGTGGCCACAACATAGTATCTCGTTCCCACGACTTTACTATCTCGTGGCCACACCTTAGTTAGCCCGTGGCCCACGACACAGACATAGTATTCCGTGCGCACGAGATAAATAAAAAAACACACATGTCACCTTCGTGCCACCTTAAGTTTGATAAAAATTCAATTTCACTTATCACACACGCTCAAAAAGAAGTGCGTAAACAATTGTTGCCACTTGTAGGATGAGTTACTAGAGACATATATAACTTTTTTTTCCACATGCTGGCGGAATCTCAAAAACACGCACTTTTCGTCTGTCGCATTCGTGTTCTCTTGTTGTTTTGGGTGTAAATTTACATGTCAGTCCCCCAACTAACACTGTTCTGTATACGCCCCTATATAAAAGTGGACGTAACTTTGTTTAATCCACGTGCCAAAACACGGGTCATCCGAAAATAACGGGAATGAACCGAGAAAGCGACACCTCTGTCATAATATGAACACAAATTATTGCAACTCGCATTATGCTTACTGCCTACTGCTTAGTGCCGTAATGTCACATGCGACTATAAATATCGCTATCTTGTCACCTTCGTTGTCGAATGCGCAGTGATCATTATTGCATATATTTGTAATCAAATGTGAATATATTGAAGCATATGAATTCTAAGACACATCAAATCAGCCAATTATTGATCAAAAATGAATTTAGTTTAATTTGACATAATTGTCACACAATATTAAGTGGCAGATTTATTAAGCAAATTTTAAAGATACAACTACCATGTTTACATATAGTTATAAAGAATGTTATCTTTAAACACCAAACATAATACGTTTGTCCTTAAAAAAAGATTGCCCAAAAATTTTTAAAAAAACCATATAAGCATATTAAAAATATGTGAGTTTATGGGTTTAGTTAGGCGAAACCACACAAGGTTTTGCAATTCATTGAAAGTGCATTTCAGTAATCATAACATGATTGAATTCAGCAAAACGCAGGTTTTCATTTGTCATAAAGAAGTTATAGAAGCAAGCATAATGTAAGTTTTGATATCATAAAGCAAGATGGAATAAATGCGATTTAATTCTGTTCCATAACAAGATCACCGAGGGTCAGTAACGTTCATCAACTGACTAAACAAAATAAAATAGAAAATAATAGTAGGAATGTTAAGGTACTTCACCCTCTCTAAAGTTCCGAATAGCAATATGAAAACCATTCACTAATGTGTTACGAGTTAAGTTTCTAATGAACATATGTGAATTTTAAAACAATTTATCGAATTCTGACATAGGAAAATCATATTCATACCTCGTCCATATTGAATATGTAGCATTTACAATTTATGTGTTAAAACCTTTTGATAGATTATGTATTATCAATGATGGTAATGATAAATAGTCAAACAATACAAAACCTACAAGGCAAGGACTTTTCGAAGTAGGAAACCCCGACATAATTAAGTCGCACCGGTAAGGTACACAGGAGAGTAACGAACGAAAAGCAGCTAATGATACCAAAGTTAACAGTTCAAAAAAGAGAAAACAAGAACCCCTAAAGAAAGCCCAAATACGACACAATTGAAAATATTGCAGGCTCGGTTTGATTGAGCCTGTTCATAGACGGTACTGTCAAGTGCAAACTACCGTCCACGCCCCCTTGCACCGGCTTAAGCAGTATTCAACATTCAACATGAGCTGGTACAATTTTGAATTTAGAAACATCCGCAGATGTGTTCATATGGCGGTTATCATGGAACCTTTAATGTGACACGCAAGTGCCATTCCATGAAAAGCGGCATATGGTCCTCAAGTAAAAAAATGCGTGTGCCCTAAACGAGAAAACAATGGGCGGAACTAAATAAAATGGTATTTTGAAAGGGGATAAGAGGTTATGAAGCCTGCATATCACAGATTAGGCGTCAAAAGACAAATTTAAAAAGTAGGCCACATATCCTAAGGGTGATTCAACAGTATTCAAGTGAGGATGAGGAATACTGGAACCACCCAACAAAAATAGCCGAATAGAAAGAACTAAATTACTACAAGCACAACAATAATGTCGCGCTGAACGATCTTTAAGGATCGGAAATATAACATCTCTGATTGAATGTACGGGGCGACGTTTTACAGCCTCCACACGGCAAAAACAACGCTGATGTGGCGATAAAATAGAGAAAATAAGAATCCCTAAAGAAAGCCCAACACGACACAATTGAAAATGTTGCAAGCCTTTTATCTTCAAAAAGGAAACGGCAATATTTTCACTTCCAAGACAAATATTTATTTTTCTTAGTAATTTTTATAATCGTGCTTCAATTCAATGTTTATTTTATTTCAGTGTACAATATATTAATTTTAGAAAAAGAGAACGGAGTTGGAAGTGTTAAACATTATAGCTGTTGGAGCTATTATTTTCCATGCTGTCAAGTTGAGCTATATCAGCTGGTGACAATATGGACATACTGTATACCAATACATCTCCTTGGATCGTTTCCTGTAAAAGAAATAAAATCATTACAAAAAAGTACCCCCCCCCCCCCCCAAAAAAAAAAAACAACAACAATTAAAACTTGTAACTATATTGAATGTTATAATGCAGTCATGAGATGATTGAAAAGTCAACCTAAAATTTATTTGACATTCAATTACTACATGATTTACATGTTTATGCCAATTAGTTTGCCTTGAGTGCTTAGTTGCAGACATTCTACAGACATATAATAAGTATTACGAACATGGGGCATGCATTGACTTTAAGATACAATAATCTCCATAAGTAATTTGATATTAAGAAATTGCTTGCGAACTGATATAGTGCTTAACACTTACAAGCATTTGGAAATAAATGAATGAATAAAATAGCAAATGAAAAAAAAAAAGAAAGAAAAAGAATTTTACCCTTATGAAAGGAAAGTGCCTCATAGCAGATACAAATCTAATTCGGTTTCTCTCTGTGTTTAAGGTCTTGGCGGGAAAACCCAAATTTTTAAAGTAAAAAAAAAATGTTTTAAAAAGAAACGAGATTTCAAATATTTAATATTTGTTGAATTTTCCCTTTAGAAATTTTGAAATAGGGGGCCATACCTTTCTTATATACGCAAAAAAAGGCCCAATGAAGACTATTTCCCGGGAAAAGCCCTACGTTATTTTGGTTGATGATATAAAACATTTTATATATATTTTAATAATATATTAAAATATATATATATTTTAAAATATATAATTATATATAATATATAAAATAAAGGGAGATGTTTTTTTATTTCTTTTCACTGTTTGGGGCCCAAGAAAACTATATACTTTTTCCCGAAAGTAAAGGACAGGTAAGTTTCAATTTAGATCCGTAGGATACAATAATTTGGGAGATAAAATATTTTATTAAAGGGAAATAATTAAATTCAATACAGTTACTTTTCCCTGCGGGGATCACTAAGATAAAAGGGTTTGCAGAAAATTGATGAAATAAAGGGAGAATATTACCCCAACATCCCAAAACCCAAAATCGGATTTGCCAGCCCCAATTAGGCACGCGCCTACCCGGAAACAGTCTTTGAAAGCATAGCCACTGCTCATTCCACCATCCCCAAAAAGGGGGTTTTTTCAGAAAAAGTTTTAAAATACAGTAAACAAACTCCCAACTAAAATTGAAAAACAAGTCAACTTTTCACATATATAGGTTTTTTTCTTCTGTTAAAAAAAAATTTTTTTCTCCCCAAAATCAACGATGACTTTTTAAATTGTCTTTTTCCCACGGGTTGGGGGCCCCGGGGGGAAAACCCTAATATCTTTTTCCCAAAATCAACTGGATCACGTGGGATCAATAGACCCGAGGATACAATGAATTTAGACAAAAAAAAGTTATATAAAGGGAGATAAAAAATTTCAATACATTTAAAAATTTTCCCCTGCGGGGGGACATTAAGTTACAAGTGTGCGGGAAAAATGATAAAGAGAGGAAAAATATACAACATACCCCCAAACATCGAATCCCCAGCCCTTTAGGCCACAGCGCCAGCGGAACAGTCTTTGGAAACTACCCCAAACTGTTTTCACCCACCATCACCAAAATAGGGTTTTTAAACAGCATTCCCAGTCCCCAAAACTGCACAACTTTGGGAAACAAGTAAACTTTCAAATATGAGTTTGTTCTCTTTTAACATATTCCCCAAATAAACGATAAATTTTATTTTTTCTTCTTCACGGGTTTGGGGACCGGGAAAAACCAAAATAATCTTTTTCCGAAAGTCAACGGGGATCACGAAGATCAAGTAGACCCGTAGGATCCCAATGAATTTAGACAATAAAGTTATAAAAGGGGAAAAATTAAATTCAATACAGTTTATTTTTCCCCTTGCGGGGGATCACTTAAGATAAAGGGGCAAAAATTTGTAAAATAAAGGGGTTTATATACACCCCTTTTACCACCAAAAATCATATCCCCAAGCCCCAATTACGGCACAGCGCCAAAGCGGGAACCCAGTCATGAAAAAGGATAGCCACTCCCTCATCCACCCCCACCAAATGAGGGTTTTCCCAGAAAGTTTTAATACAAAAAAAAACTGCCTACACATTGAAACCCAACCCAAACTTTTCACTTTAAAATAGGGGTTTGTCTCTGTTAACATATCTCAACAAATCAAACGATAAATTTTTATTTTTCTTCTTCCCCTGGGGGGGATCAGAAAAAACTATAATCTTTTTCCAAAAAGTCAACTGGATCCCCCGTAAGATAAAAGTTAGACCCTAGGATCCCAATAAAATTTTAGCAATAAAGTTAAAAAAGGGAAAAAATTAAAAATTCCCAATACAGTTTTATTTTCCCCCTGCGTTGGATCATTTAAAGAAAATTTACGGAACCCTTTAAAGGGAAACCCCCAACCCCCGGAAAAATTTGAAAATTTTTGCAGCTCGGTTTTGACCCTTTTCCCTTTTAAAGGGAAACTTCAAGGCAAGTTACCTTTCCACGCCCCCGGGCCCCCGGGTTTAAAGCAGAAATTCAAAAAATTTAAAAATGAAGGGTTTAAAATTTAAATTTTTTGAAACACCCCCAAAATGTTTCATTTTGGCGTTGATTTGTGAATTGTTAAAAAGAGATACAAGGTGCAAAAAATTTGAATAGAAAGAGGAGAATATATACCCCCACTTTACCACCACATGGGGAATTACCCAGCCCAAATTTTACGGCACACCCCTTTAGCAGAACGTATGAAAAGCATAGCCACTGCTCTTTCCCCCTTTCCACCAAATATGGTTTTCAGAAAAGCTTTATTTTACAGTCAAAAAACCTGCATAAAAACATTGAAACAAGTTCAACTTCACATATATATTTTTTTGTTCCCTCTTTTAAAACATATCCCCCAAAAAATAAAAGATGACTTTTTTTATTGTTTTCTTCACTAAATTGGCCCAAAGAGAACTATATATCTATTTCCAAATCAATTTGGATACTTTAAGATCAATTTAGACCCGAGGTTTTAAAATTTAAATTTTAACAGTTTAAAGTTAAAATATAAAGGGATAATTAAATTCTTTACAGTTATACTTTTCCCCTGCGGGGACCCTTTAAAATCAAGGTGCAGAAAAATTTTGAAATGAAAAAGAATAAAAACCCCCCAAAACCACCACTCGAAAAATTCCCCCAGTCCAATTACGGACAGCCCCCTGGGCAGAACAGCCCATGAAAAGCATAGCCACTGTTTCAACCACCATCACCAAAATAGGGTTTTCCCGGGAAAAAACCCTTTATATACGGGGTCACATAACTGCACTACACATTGAAAAAAGCTCAACCTTCAATATTTTAGATTTTTGGGTTCTTTTTTTAACTTTATCTAAACCAAAATCAAGATGAACATTTTTTATTTGTCTTCTTCACTGATTGGGGCCCAAGGGAAACTATATATCTATTTCCAAAATCAACTGGATCACGTTTAATAAGATCAAGTAGATCCGTAGGATACAATGAATTTATACAATAAAGTATATATAAAGGGAATTATAAAATTCAAATACAGTTATTACTTTCCCCTGCGTGGGATCCACTTAAGATACAAGTGGTCAGATAAATTGATAGAAATGTAGAAATATTATACACACATACCACCACATCGATTACGCCAGTCCAATTACGGGCCACAGCGCCTAGCAGAAAGTCATGAAAGCATAAAGCCACTGCTCATCCACCATCACCAAAATGATGGTTTCAGAAGCAAGCTTTATATACAGTCACAAACGCACTACACATTGAAACAAGCTCAACATTCAACATATATAGAGTTTTGTTCTCTTGTTAACATATCTCACAAATCAAACGATTGACATTTTTATTGTCTTCTTCACTGATTGGGACCAGAGACCTATATATCTATTTCCGAAAAGTCAACTGGATCACGTAAGATCAAGTAGATCCGTAGGATACAATGAATTAAAGACAGATAAGGTATATATAAAGGGAGATAATTAAAAATTCAATACAGTTATACTTTCCCCTGCGTGGGATCACTTAAGATACAAGTGGTGCAGTAAATTGATAGAAATGAGAGAATATATACACACATACCACCACATCGATATGCCAGTCCACAATTACGGCACAGCGCCTAGCAGAACAGTCATGAAAGCATAGCCACTGCTCATCCACCATCACCCTCCAAATGAATGGTTTCAGAACAGCTTTATATACAGTCACAAACTGCACTACACATTGAAACAAGCTCAACATTCACATATATAGAGTTTGTTCTCGGGTAAACATATTTTCAAAAAAATCAACGTTCTCTGTTAAAAAGAACTAATTATATTTTCCAAAAGTCAACTGGATCACTTTAAAAACCCAAGAAAGACCCGTAGGATACAAGGGAATTTAGACGAAAAAGTTATAAAAAAGGGAGAAAATTAAATTAAATTTACATTATATTTTCCCCTGCGTGGATCATTAAGATACTTGAAAGGATAATTGAAAAGAAATGAGAAAAATTTATATCCACCCCTTTTCCCCCCCACATCATATTGCCAGTCCAATTTACGGACAGCCCCCTAGCAAAAACAGTCATAAAGCATACCCTGCTCAGTCCCCCATGTTCTCTGTTAAGCATATCTCACAAACGGGCACTCAACGAAGCTATGACATTTTAAAAAGGGATGATTGTCTTCTTCACTGATTGGGATCAGAGAACTATATATCTATTTCCGAAAGTCAACTGGATCACGTAAGATCAAGTAGATCCGTAGGATACAATTAATTTAGACAGATATGTATTGAATTTAATTATCTCCCTTTATATATACTTTATCTGTCTAAATTCATTGTATCCTACGGATCTACTTGATCTTACGTGATCCAGTTGACTTTTGGAAATAGATATATAGTTCTCTGGTCCCAATCAGTGAAGAAGACAATAAAAATGTCATCGTTGATTTGTGAGATATGTTAACAGAGAACAAACTCTATATATGTGAATGTTGAGCTTGTTTCAATGTGTAGTGCAGTTTGTGACTGTATATAAAGCTGTTCTGAAACCATCATTTGGTGATGGTGGATGAGCAGTGGCTATGCTTTTATGACTGTTCTGCTAGGCGCTGTGCCGTAATTGGACTGGCATATCGATGTGGTGGTATGTGTGTATATATTCTCTCATTTCTATCAATTTATCTGCACACTTGTATCTTAAGTGATCCCACGCAGGGGAAAGTATAACTGTATTGAATTTAATTATCTCCCTTTATATATACTTTATCTGTCTAAATTCATTGTGTCCTACGGATCTACTTGATCTTACGTGATCCAGTTGACTTTCGGAAATAGATATATAGTTCTCTGGTCCCAATCAGTGAAGAAGACAATAAAAATGTCATCGTTGATTTGTGAGATATGTTAACAGAGAACAAACTCTATATATGTGAATGTTGAGCTTGTTTCAATGTGTAGTGCAGTTTGTGACTGTAT